GTATTTAAAAGGAAATTTTAATATTTAACATGTAAAAACTGCGCTGCGGAAGCAACAGAGTATCGAAAATGCATGCATTATACAACGAAGCGTTGAATGTCAGGTATTACGAAACACGCGTGAAAATCGACTGTGTAAACTAGTTTTCTCCGAGGCAAGTTCATCTAATGCAGGTATCGATACGTTATCTGATATTTTTTTCATTATTACCTTCAGTTTTCATATTTCGACCGATAAAACGTTCGATATCCTATCACATCGAAACGTATATATTATGTATGCAGATTTTACATTATATACAGAGTGTTGTAGTTTTTAAGGCAAAATTTTATTAGGATATTCTATACATATGAATACGACAAAAAAGGTTGTACGAACATAAAAATCAATAAGGGAAATAGTAAATAAAGGTAGAACAGTACTAAAGTAACTAATATCGAATCTTGAAAATTTTGCTTCGTAAAAGTTGGAATATATTCTGTATAATGATAGAACAGATACAGATACGGTGGTAACAGATATTGGCGAATATCGTATCGTTTCTTTCGTTTTCATCTCGCATAATAAAGCATAATTTCCAAGAAAATTGGTTACTTTCCACGCGAATGTAAAAATTCTCCAAATCGAAGTTCTCATTTACACAACGCAGAATAAACGGAGATCTGTACCAAATGCTGGGAATTTGAAACTAGCTCGCAATACAGGATCAACATCCTTATTGCAAATTACTCGACTGTTCTATCGCACGATGTGTTTCGTTTCGTATATCTGTTTACTTACCTATGAATATGTACATTGTAGAGAGATCTGTCCTCTCTACTCACCGACACGCTATTTCGTCCCTCTGGCTCATAATAATTTTACATTTTAATGGTCGACACGACGAAGAATTGGAGCACGAGACGAATTAATATTTCGCTTTACATATTTTCCATATGGACCAGCATTTCTAATAAATTAAACATTATCCAATAGACTAGTTACTTGCATTTGTATTAACAGCAAAATAAGCGTGCTTGGCCATACACTTCATTTATACAGTAGGATATGCTAGAAAAAACTATGCAATTGATCTTCCTTTCTATGAAATAGATCTTTCTTCATCATAAATATCGATTTGTCCCAGCGTATCTATACACTGTGGTACGTATCTAAATGTATTTAGAGATTGAAATAAGAAAAAAAAAGAAAAAATGCCGAAAAAATAATATACAATTAATTTACTTAATTTTAACACGTAGTATGCAGGTTTGAGTATTTATTTCATCATTTCACTAGTTGTTCACTTTTAATTCCTGGGTTCAACTTGAAAGGCGAAAGAGATGAACTTTTCCACCGATTTAACGATGATGATACTTGATACGAGCGTATAAAAAACCGGTTGAGCTTGGAAAATGTTAACAACTTGAAAAGCACCGGTACTAAATTAACTGAAAATCCTGTTTCGACGAGAAACCTTTAAAAAAAAGTGCGCGAGATTGCTGAAACGGGAACATTTACAAGCACTCTACCAACAAAATCGTTAAATGCGCATTTCCCTTCCAACAAACTATAACACGCAGCGACGCGTTCAACGAGTCGTTTGTTATCATTCGCGAAATTTACGGCTATGTTCTTCCCCCAAAAATATTCCCAACGAGTCCAGATAAACTAGAAAAAAAATACCAGTGATTTTTTCTGTTTTCACCCTGTGAAAGAGGAACAAAGAGAAACCCGATCGTGGAAGAAGAGGGGTTGTAACGGGCCATTCGAGGGTGAGAATCGTGGAACAAAAGGGGTTAATTGCGTCGATATGTCGATGATAAAGGCGAGAACACACGACTAACAATCGCATCGCGGTAAAAACGCAACTGTGTGTATCGGCATTGACCCCGTAATTTTTAATTGCACTCGCGTGTCTCGCTATCGTTATCGCACCCCTCTCATTAACACGGCAAAAAGAATCGTCCGTGAAACGTTGCACAACGATCGTTGGTGAATCGTTTTCGGAAATGTTTCTTTTAACGAGCAGGCTATGATAGGGCTGCTGTTAAGAGGTTTTCCACGATTTCGAAACGGGTGAACGTGGCAATCGGAGATTAATTAATAGGGAAATTAACCACGTAGTTGTGTTTGAATAAGAATGATTGTCGAAGAATTGTTAGCGTGAGATAGGAATATATGTTGGAGTTTATTAAATTCACGATCAGAAGGAAAAAGACTCGAAAAAATGGATTTTCGAAGAAATTTAATTAAAATTAAAATATGTCCACGAGATATTGAAGCGTCACCTAGCTTAGACAAAATCCAAATTGGCAATTGTTATCGAGGTGCAAGAAGGAACACCGAATTTTCCAAAATGAAATGTTCTACTGGCTATAAACGAAGCTAGAACGAAATATGTTATGGAAAATCTGAAACTGAGAAGCAGCAGGGAAATCACGTTCCCGTCGTAAAACCGACTTAAAACTATCTTTTGCTAAAGCTTTATTATTAATTGCTATTGTGTACCGTCCGAATGCACGAGGGATCTTTAGTTAGGGACGAAATTTTCACTGTGGATCGGCCAACAATGTCGCCGCGAATATTCTGAATTATTATGCATTAAATGAAGATGAGAAAGTATCACGGAACACTTTGCTGGAAAACCGCGCGGCGTGTATGGATCGTTGTATAAGATTCTCTTTGTGTGCAACGTCGCGTGCCGTCACGGTGGCAAATTCCCGTGCTGACGTGCCTGGGGCGTCGGTTATACGAGTTGTTTATACGAGCAATAATTTATTACTTACCCTTACGACGCGTCGGATCGTTAATATCATAGACGTCAGAACTATGGAAGATGGAGAACGCGGCGGAATTGTATCGTGCTTTAAACGAAAAGACGCGCGATACTTCAACCGCGACTATGGTCGTTTTAGCTCCCATGTTAACGACTACTAACGAGAGATTCGGCGTCGTTCATATCAATTTTCCCTATATTAAGATTCGCTATCTTTGTATTGTTCGTTGTATTGCTTCTTTTATAGTTATTTTTTAATTTTATAGTACTCGTCGAATTACGATCACTTGTAGAAATTTCATTGTTCTAATTATAAGACTTGCTGTATCATAAATGACAAATTGTCCGTGGCTGTTCAAATTATTAGTGAATGCGGAAATGGTCGTGTATATGGCAATTAATTTATTACTCTGTAATGGCACAGAGAAAAGTCCATAGCAGAGTTTTTTCCAGGAAAGTACATTTTCGTAGCGAAGCAATTTCTCTGACTTGAAAGCTTATATCGCTTAAATCATTTATGTACTCGTCCCTGAACGACATACTTTTAAAGGCAAAAGTTCAAAATGTTTGGTGAAATGATGGGAAAAGTACGAGCTATAATCTAAAGGGGATATTTAGCTCTTTGAAGTTTCTACGCTTATTCTGATTGAAGAGGAGACGAGAATTCGTGCAACAGTTGCAAAAATTGATATTTACGAATCAGTATTGAAAAACCTATTAATATCAACTAAATTTGCATCATATCGAGAATGTATCCTTAAATTGAAAAAAGAAAAGAATCTTTTTCTCATTTGTTGTTGGATAGCGTACAATCTTGTAAATGTTTTCTATCGTGTAATTGTTACTGACCTTTAACACGGCGCCTATTGCAATTATATGCGAACAAAAGATGGCGTATTTCCCTAAAATTAAATAATTTGCATCGTATCTTACATAATGAAAACCCTATAACAATGAACAGTTCTCGCTGCTTCTTGTTCAGAAGTTCAGCAAAAGAGCTTGATGCAGATGAGAAACGAGATCATTCCTCTTGGTTAACCCACAGATTCACGAAGGAAGGATTCGTTAGTTGGAACGTTCTTGGTATATCGATCCTCGCGATCCACGCGAAAAGAAAGTTAAATTTCTCAGAGGAGACGGCGGGAAATGCGAGCGGAAACGGGCTGAAGATGAAGAGAAGGAAGAGGGAGAGCTCCCTGTTGGTTGGTGTCGCCCTACGAAACGAGTTTGAAAGCCCTTTTACCGAATAAAAGTTGACGCGAACTGCTAAGGTTCCGAAGGCGGGCTACGCCGGCGCAGGCCACACGGAAAAGTTGAAATTATAAAAATTTCAAATTTCCAAACGGCTGACAGACGACAAGACGACGATTCGCGGTCGCCTGGGATAGCCACTGTCGCGGTTTTTCGACCCGTAAACTTCGCCGAACTTGCAACCGGGGAAAATTGGAAACCGCCGGAAAAAAATTGTTTCGTCGATGCCCACGCGGCGTTATCGAAACGCTTTCCCAATTTCAACATCACCTGATAACGCATTGATAGCTGCAGTTGCGATTCTTTCCAAAGGCTGTGTTTTTTTCCAGAAAGAAGATTCAGGAGGGGACGTTTGATACGAATGATAGTCTTCGTTTGGAAAATATTTTACGTCCAACTTGTTAGTCGTGGGAATTAACTGATTGATTGGATTACCAATCTCTTGAATGTTATAATCTCTTTATTTACGACCAGTCAGAAGTCAGTATTAATCTACAAATGGGAAAGTAGAGGAAAATTATCTACGAACAATACGTTCTTAAATTTACTTTAGAATTTATGACTTCTTGTATCGTTTGTTTGCGATAAAGCAACTTATGGGGAAAAATCGCTTGTCTGTCACTGATTTTAATAATTCGATGATCGTAAATCATTTCGATCTATTTTCTTGGGTAGAACGATTAATTAATTTTAATTAGAAATTTTTGAAATTTTAAACACCGGTACGTAAATGAAACGTGAATTTACATTATACCTTTGTGGAACTTTGTAAGAGAGCCAGTTGTAACATTCCTCAAATAACAGTGATGTATTTGATAAAATAACATGCTCGTTATTTCTGAAAACTAGCGACCGTAGTAATTCTGAAAATAATTTTAAGATTGCAAAAGAACGATTTAATTTATATGACACGGTAAAAATAAAAAAAATTGCTTGTAAAAGAAAATTAGGGAAAATCGTTAATGCATGCATGTTTTCACTTTGTTTGCAGGACCTTCGTTTTGGGGTCTGATAAACCCCCAGTGGTATTTGTGCAGCAAAGGAAGACGACAGAGTCCTATCAACATCGAGCCTGACAAGCTTCTCTTCGACCGC